AAAATGGGTGGAAACGGGAGTTGTTTGGTGAAACTGTATCATCTGAAATTAAAGGCTTCATTTCTTTAAAACTTTTAACTTCATTTAAAAGAAATCGAAGTCAGGCAATTGTTAAATTTGGTCGGACTACTATTAATTTCTTAAAGGAGTGTGTCATCAGCATATAAAGATAAGTAAATATCAACCCAGGATGCCCAGAGGTAGCATTAAGTGCTCTAAACATCTGCACAGTTATTTGAGAAATGTCCTCCAATCCCTTGTAGCCCCGGCTAAATGAGAGAAAAACCAATCAGAGAAGCCCATTATCTTTGCCATTTTGTCTCATCTTTCTAATGTGATCTAAAGGTGCTGTACAGGGCCGATAAATATATTACATGACCAGTGACCAAAGTTGAAAAGACAAAAGACAAAAGACAAGAGCAAACTAACAAACAAAACTGAAAAATCAAATCAAACAAACAACAACAATAATAAAAAACAACAAAACAAACACTTAACTAATGGGAGTTTATCAGAGTCAACATGACTTAAATATGTGAATGATCAGCAGGGGGTAACTACTGTATATACTGTATAATAATAAGTTAAGACAGAAGGGAAACAAATAATTAAAAGTCTATGGATTGAATGAGGACTCAGTGCGTATGTTTTGTTGCTAAAAATGTTTTTTAAGTATCATTATCACAGTCATTACCATGTCTATCATGACCACCACTATCATCACCATCATCATCACAACATATGGTCACAACCATCATCTTTTTTGATGGAAAAGAAGAGGACAAACAAAAATAAATAAATAAAGAGGGGATAAACAAACATTTAAGTAAAGGAGGGGCAATGGGGGAGATAAAGACTCTCCAGCTGCAAGGCACTGTTGTAAAGGTGCTTGATTGGTAAGGGACAGCAACATGGAGTCAGGTAGTTTTTGTCTTTTTTTTTTTTCATGTATCTTGGTTCTGATTTTGTTTTGATTTAACCTGTCCAGGTTCTTGTTGTTTCCCTGTTTCAGGCTGCCTGCAGACTCATGGAAGCCTGACTAAGAAACAGCAATGTTATTATTATCATAATCTTTTTTTTTCTTTTTTTTGATCAAGAATTCCCTTTACAAATTGCTTCCCTTTGATTACTTTAATCATCAGTTTTGCCTCATTTTTTTAGCAAAACAAATATCTGGTCCCTTATGGACTCAAACTTGAATAAGAAATATACATCAAGCACCGTACTAAAGCCTCGACTGTAAATATCAATGTTTTCTTGTTTATATATAATCATGTTCAAATTGGGGCATATTTAAAGTCTTATTTCCTGTCCTGTTTAACATAATGATAAGGAAGACAATAAAAAGGGAATTAATAGTTAGTGATAAAAGCATGACAGTGCAGAAAGATCCTAAAGTAGCTGCAGTTGCCAACTTTCAAACTTTAGGTCAAATAAAGCAGCACAGATGGCCTCTCTGTGGGCTCTAAGTTGTGTGCATCATTGCATTAACATATTTATTAGAGTTCAGTATTTATGAGACAGAACGTAATATCAGTTAAGATTTTGAGTGTTTCTTGTTATTTAGCGTGGAAGGAAATTAAAATGGAGCATTCAGAGTGGCAGCTAAGGCTTATAAACTGTCCAATGAATCCTTCAGTGGGGTAATTTACGGCTCTGCAGAGCTGACGTCAGTCAAGGTAGAACAACAAATGTCAGCCATGCGTGGAAGAGAGAAACCCACTGGGAGAAGGCTATCTGTCGAAACACTCAACCACCATCTGCTTTAAGCTTTCATATTCCTATTCATGTGCTGTAAACTGTCAACTTACATTTCATATGAAAACCCAGATGGGCTCTGTTTTTATTTTGTATCATGAAAGGCTGCACCAACACTGAAAAGTATAAAATGCTATATTTGATACAATAAGTAGCTACATTGTCAGATGTGGTCAACACATGGGGACTTCTCATTTAACCAGATTCAATAAAGATAATCAAGTAAAATACAATTCAAAAGACAACATCTGGAGGCTTCTGGAGCCAGAGACAGACCAAGGTCATTTCCTTGTTCTTGGGATAAATGGAATGAGTCTTTTACATTTTATAAGGGTCTGGGTTTTGATTGAAATCCTCAAAATCCTGATAAATTAAAACCCTACAGGACTATTTTTTCATGTGCTGTTGATGAAAACAGAGACACAACTCTGTTTATTAATCAAAGTACCACGCTTAGCACACTTTGAAATGGCAAATGTATGGCCCTTTCACAGTATTCTAGTATTTTTTATATATATACATGTCACATTCTCACACACATTCTCACACCAAAGGCTATGTCTGAGCATAGATTCAAGGAAAATTGAGGTTCAGTGTCTTGTTCGAGGACATCTTTACATGTTAACAGCAGGAGCTGGGGTTCAAACCACTGACCTTCCAGTTAGTGGAAAACACTGCACCCCACTGACACATTTTATGTAGGGTGGCTTTTATGTTTATATAATCCACTTTGACAGCTATAGATCCAGTGTAACTTTTAAAGACATTGGCTCAATATGACCCTGAAGCTCCAATTGAGGTAAATATAGCAAATGAATACGCTCTTCTGTTTGCTAAAGTACAATACAAAAAAATGAGGATGGAACATCTCCTTCAAGTGCACTGATAATCTGTTCAAACATTACTTTACTTAAATTAGCTCCCTCAATAACTCACAAAACAGAAAGAAGGAGTAAATAAATGTGTGTGCTGAGGGAGTCAGGAGATAACTATGTGCTGTTCAGGAAGCTGACTAAAAGAATCAACAACATCTAACAGTAAAAACACAAATTGAAATCTCTGGGAGTCAGATTTCAGGTTGGTAATACATCAGTCTTTAGCTATTGAAGCTAATTTGACTGTCAGTTAGCATATCTACTTTGCTTTTAAAACATCTTACAGGTCATAATTCCTCAAAAAGTCTTCAAAAAGAGCCCTTTAGCTCTATAGATATCTGCCTGGTACTGCTTCTTAATTAATCTGCTCGTGTTTCTGCAGTAAACAGCAGTAATAACAGCCTGAGAGGCATAACTTCTTTTTGATCATTCATGACAGTGTGGTGGGAGAACATTTTACAGCCCAGTAATTTAGAAATGCACTATCTTTGCTTTGAACTGATTCTGGGAAAATAAGAGTTAAAGCAGCGCAGACCAACGCCTGCTTTCTGGTTTGTGAAGCAACTCTACCGTGCCCCTCAGAGTACAGCTCGGATATTAAAGCGCTCTAAGTAAAGTGGCCTAATCAGCCGTGGCATGCACTGGAGAACACAAAACTGCTGAGGAGCGCCGTTTCAAATCTGGAGAAAGACATCAAATCTCTCAAAAGCTGATACAGGCGCCTGGGAGGTAGTGAAAGGAGCATATTTGTGTTTACAAAATTATAGGGTACAAACGCATTTTAAACATATTTTGGATTTTGTTTTCCAGAGCTTCAATACTTAAACTTAACCCTGCAGTTCTGCTGAAACAACACAAAGCCAACACGTTGATTTGACCACACATTTGAGAGCCAAACCCCTGTGGAGGGCTGTCACTTCCCAACTGAATCCCCTCTGACTGCAGACTGTCACAGAGAGGGCGAGAGAGGGATGGGTGACAGGAGGCGAGAAGGGGGAGCAGACCAGCGCTTGTCAAATGTTAACTAAGAAGCTGTGACACTGGAGCAGAGCTTCGAGGCACGGACCGGCTGACCCCCACAGACCTGACAACCCAAGACCAGAATGTACAAGACAAGCATCGTCCTCCTCACAGCCTCCAAATGTGCCTTTATAAACCACACTGCTGGAAATAACTGCAGCTGAAAACATAGTACTTGCTAAATTATTAGAAAGTATCAGATATAAAAGCACAAGGCTTTGTAAATAAAGAGAATGGTTTGGATTATGTAGTAAAGAAAGCAAAAAGGGACGTATTAGTTTAATGGTTGGCTAAATAAAACTATTTAAACAGAGGAACTAAATCATCTCAAAATAAGCTCTCAAAAAAAAGAAGGGATTTCATCCATGAGGTATTTGGGTAGATTTTCAGTTATTTAGCATATAGCATTCGACCTCATTTAAAAGCAGCATGAAGCTTAAAGTGTCAACAGCTCTAAATGATGACATATTAACATTATGACATAACTGCTTGGATCCCCATGAAATGAAGAATAAATGTACCTTCATCATTAAGTTGTGTTTTTTCATCAAAATAACTGTATTTTGGGGCGCTGGTGGCGCTGTTGGCACAGTGTGTTTGCCCCATGTGTGGAGGCCATGGACCTTCAAAGCGGGCGGCCCAGGTTCAAATCCCAACTGTGGCTACTTTCCCGCATGTCACTCCCCACTCTCTCCCTGATTTCTGACTCTATCCACTCTCCTATCTCTCCATTAAAGGTACAAAACGCCCTAAAGTAATCTTTAAAAAAAACAACTGTATTTTCTCTTCCTGTCAAAGTTTCAAATGTCTCATCCTGAACTCATGGGAGTTTACTAATTTTTCGGCAGAAAGCTTTGACGACGCTAACAATCCAGTCCAAGTCATCCCTATGTTATGTCCCGCCTTGTGTCTTGTGATTGGTTGTATCCTGTTTCAGTTACAACGCGGCGGTTAGACACTTGACATGGCAGTGCCTGTAGCTCGGATGCTAAACATTATTGGGAAATTATATTCAGGAGCAGCTTTTAACAAAGAGTCAATAATCATGGCACTAGAGGGCTTTTCAGACAGTTTTACCATTCTGATATATTCCATTATTCAAGTGGTAAAATTAGTGTAAAGCTGTATGGGTTTAAAGGGATTTAAAGGGGAGAATTTAACCCCAGATATATTTCCCTTATATGGTAAAAGTCTTTCACTTGAGCCAGCTATTCCCTCCTACATCTGGTAATTTCTGCTCACAGCAAAATAACATCTGCCCTCATCAGCATCTCTAAAATCATGCTGAATGTGTTGCACGAAATATGTAGTACTGAAAAAAGCCCCAGCAGGGAAATCCCTTCTCACCTCAGCCTATCCTCCTCCTTCTTTCTCAGCTTCATGTCGCGTTGGACCACTTTCAAGACGTGCTCCGCCTCATCATCCGTCAGGCCTGACAGGTCCAGCTTCCTGCCCATCTTTCCTGGCCTCGCCACACTGAGCTGCTGCTTCTGGTCCAAAAGAGGAGGACAAGGAGGGGCACAGGCTCTGCTCGGGGGGACGAGGCTGGGACAACCCTGGAGATAGAGGGAAAGAGAAATTTAAAAAATACATGTGTGCAATATAATGATACTTTGGGAACTGAATAATGCCTTCGATTGAAGTCCTCAGGGCTTCTTCAGAACTCTTGTACAACTGGGATTGAAGAATTCATCAAACTCTTTTGGCTAAAGACTTACAATAGGTGGATCTCTGGCAAATAGTACGACAAAAGATAATGTCAAAGCTACATTCTTACAACAGATTCAGCATAAAAGTTCACTCAAAGGGCACTATGCCTGCATGCAACAATGCTGCAACACTTCCTTTTATGACTTTTGAACAAAATAAATTGTGGCACTGGTTGCTGGACTCTGACCTCTAAGCTACTGAAAATTGGATGAAGGCTTGTTTTCAAAGCAGAGTGTAGTGGTTGGAAAAGTCTTTGGGTTTCTTTTTTACAGTTTCAGGTCATTACTATTACGATTCTTGACTTGCCACTGGAAGGAAGAAATAAAACTTGGAATGTTAAAACCAACTAAGCATGTTCCAAAAAACTAGATACCCACATCTTTATAAGTCTTATCTGCAGAGCAAATGAAAGAGACGTGATTGATATCAGACGATGATAGTATACACCAGTGCAACAACTAAGGTCCTAATATCTGCAAAAATCTCCATCCCTGAAAATATAGAGTAAACACAGTGTGGCTTGTGTAAACACAAGCCACAAACACAATAAGCAATGGAATGCAAAATGAAGTAATTAGGATTATTAATGACCACAAAATCTGATCACTACCGCCGACAAATAGCAGACGAGGTATTGAGTGTTGAGTTCACCTAACTTGAACTTGATTAACTGATAATGAACAAAATCACTGCATCTGCAAGTAAACTTTTCCTCGTTTTGTAAATACATTAATTTGCATTTGGCTGCATTAACCTCAGTATTAGAATTGATGTAAACACCACCACCATTACTGTCTCCATAGTAATGAGCTTCTGCTAATCACACTAAGTGAATACATCCATGCTACCTGCAGCGTGTGGCTTCACCACAGCATCTTTTACAATTACATGCTGCAGTCACATGCTAACATGTCCACATTGATTGGCGTTAGATGGAAAGTAAACTGTTCAACCAAATCGCTCCCTTCTATATAATCCCAGATGATTCAGCAGCAGTTATTCATTAGTCAGTCTGAAAACAATTGCAACCCACGGAAAAAGTAAGCCACAGCCTAAAGTCCTTTATTACCGAGTGCTGGCTACATGACAAGCAGTGAAAAGTAAGACGTCGCTCCCAGAAGCTATATGATTAACACACTATATAGCCCATAGGTTCTGAAAGTGTCCTCAGGGAAACATAAGGCTGCTGTTTTCTGGCATAGTCAAACTACAAAAGCCTCAACAACATTTTCAGTAGATACTAAATATTAGATATAATATACTAGATATTTGTGGATTTTAACACTTTTAAGATGTGCATACTAATACAATGCCAGAAATTGTGATCTAAGAGTACCTTAAATTGCGATCACGCTGTGCAACTCTTCAACTTTAGACATTCAAATCACAACCTTCTGCCATTTGTGCGATAAAATCTCACCCCTACCACAACATGCAAAGCAGGAATTTAGCTGCAGGACAGATTCTGACTAATATTTAACTTGCAGGCTTTGTTTTACTATTTTGGAACTGGCCATTAATGTGGCGTGGTTAGTCTAAGTCCTCATGTCCAACATTAGGGGACTCTTTGCATGGGTCTGTCAATCAAATTGAATTAGAGTTACAGACGTTTGCAGAAGGGTTTTCAAATCTCAATTGACACGGAGACCTCACAAAGTGTAAGATTCATTAACATAAATACAAATCTGACATTCTGAAAAAAAAAAAACACATGTCAATAGGGGGAGAAAGGTTGATAAAGAGTTGAGATATTGATAGCCGGTCAAGAGAGCACAAACAGAGGAGAACAGCAGTGACAGATGTGGAGATGGAAAGAAGGATGAGGATAAACAAGATGAGAGAGCAGTACAAGTAGAGAGATACAGAAGGCCAGACAATTATGTCCATCCTAGTATCGGCCAACAGCTTTATTGACAGAGCCGCTCTTCTCTCGCTCATTATTCAATTCATTCCTGAAGTTCACTTCAAAGACTGCTGTTGAACTGATCGACTGATCAGGCACAAATATTTGTGTTTCTGTCAAAATGTATGCAGCAATATGTTTGCTACATTTGTTGCTGTGACTCTCAGCTCCATTTATTCCAACATTATCAATCACAATCCTGAAGCTATGAAATATAAACCTTAGTTCGTTGGTCTAAAATTGAGTGGTTGTCAGTTTGAGTAAAAGCTTAGTGGAAAGTAGACAAAATGTTGTTCATCGTTTTATTTTATCCTCTGAGATATCTCCATCAGATGCTCTTATGAGTCATCTGTATAAGTAGGAATATATAATCCACAAGGACAAACACACACACACACACACACACACACACACACACACTCATTCACACACAAAGTGCGAGAACAAGCTTTTGACAAATTCTCAGATCAGATCTCTCAGTCTCAAACATCTTGTATCCCATAGATACAGACTGTCACAATGCGCTACATGACCTTGCCCTTAACTCTGAAAAGGATATACAATTTGAAAGTCAATCTTTTCAAACATTTTCCAGCATCTGCGCATATCACAAGAAAAAAGACTATATTTCCTAAACGAGTGCTTGCAAAAAGAAAGATTTGTGATGTCCCATGCACCCAAAGGAACAACTTTGACGCTTTACAGCAATACAAATGATCACTATAAGCTGCTGGAAAGAACCTTCATATTCTTTTGAAGAGAAACAATCAGGTCCTAGTTTTATTTCAGCCACCAGACTAAAAGCCATGAGTTCAGGCTTTAAATGTATCGTAGGCCATCATTGGTCCTGTAGTGGCAAGAGGAAGAAATCTTCATAACCAAATGATAGCGACACGTTTTTTTTTGTTTTTTTTGTGTGGAACATAAGTCAAGTGAGTTATCACCTTACAGCTTCATTGTATTGTGGAACAAAATCAGCTAAACCCCTGTGCTCCATCATGGCCATCATTTAAAGGTCAGGAGGGTTTTAGAGATGTGTGGCTCTTTTCATAGAAATTAAGCTACAACAAACAGTTAGTCAGCTTAGCATGCATAGCTTAGCTTCAAAATGCGAACAATGACGTTAAGTTACGTCTTGTTGCCTTGCTGCTGCCTCGGGGTCAGTGTCAGAAGAGGAAGCAACTTCATTCAATTTCAAAAACGATTAAACTATTGAAAATATCTGGTATTTTTTGTTACACAGGTGGACAATATTCACACGTATATTGCTAAAAATTTCGAATCAAGTATTTTGATAAGTCTAACAATATTGTATTGTCTATCAAAATGGGATCTTTGTACTATAAAAGATGTTATTCCTGAAGATGACGTTTTTTAAAGAAGTCAAATTCGTCACTCAGACTCTTATTCTTGACGTGAAACCACAGAGATGTCCGCCCTTATTTTAAAGTTGAAATACCTGATAAAAAAGCAGGAAAGGATGAAATCTCTCTGATAACAATGCACATGTGTCGAGTCCAAGAACGCACATTAACACCTTTATCAGTCAAATAGATAGTATACCAAAATTAGCTTCAGCTCTGTAACATATTACAACAGCAGCCACGGCTGGCTGGTCTAACATATTTGTCTTCAGTCCTTGTTAGGCTCCTAATGTATAGAGAAGATTAATGGACCATTACTGTGTGGCCATTATTGTATAGCCACAAGGGAGGGCAATTATTCAGACCTTCTTTTTATAGTGAGTGGTGTCAAGGATGGGGATGGAGCATCATTTATGACTATGAGAGTATCTGCCTCTCTAGCTCTAGTGTTGCACATACTGTATACACAGCAGCCAATCCATCTTCATTTTCAATTTCTCAAATAGACGCACACTCACAAACACAATCATATACACACAAGGCAACAGAACCATGCGTCTTTTGTAAAGCATTGTCACAATCCTGTATGAAATACCATCAGGCCATCAACAATAGCACCATGAGAAATAAGTGTGTAGATCGTGGGAAAGAGTGTCCGACAGAAACCCACTAAGGAACTAAGGTAAGAGATTGTGGTTCATTCATTCATTCAGTGGGCTACTCTGCGCTTCTATAAATTTATATTTTTTATATAGATTTGTGACTGTATAGAGAACCATTCCCAAACAGTCTGAACATTAGCAGAAGAAACATCTTTCTGCTGTTCACACTGTCTCTGATCATCATAATAAACCATGTGCTGTTTCAGCAATTTATCCAACCCTAATGACACACAACAGTTTCACTTCTTCAAGCCCCAAGAATTTGTTAAAATTCTGATTTATTGCTATAAATGTGGATGGCACTTACAGTACAGTTAAGCTCAGAGAAATATTTTGGCCATGGCAAATACAATTTGGTAGTGTAAAACTTTAGGGAACATAACACAAAGACTCAAAGACTCACTTCATAAGGCAATCGTTATTGTAAGGTAGATGGACGGTAACTAAGTAGCGCTTTTCTAGTCTTCCAACCTCTGAAAGCACTTAGCATCACATAACACATCCATCCTTTCACACACTCCTTCTGGCCATGCCTTTTAAAGCAATTTGGGGTGCAGTGTTTTGCCCGAGGATACTTCAACATGCAGACTTTAGGGTCCAGTCGTCAAACTGCCAGCTCTATATCGAGGGAATTATTGGGATTTAAATGATTTTGACTTGCGCCGTAAAGCTACAGATGACAACTCTAGGCACCAATATGCCAAATGATTGGAAGTAATCTTATAAAATGGCTTTTGTCATGAGTTGAAACAAATGAAGTAACATTTCCAAAAAACGAAAACAAAATGTGGTCAGTACTGTCACATTCTGACCAGCTCTGCAGTCATTTGTACGTGTGTAACACCATCAGCTTACACCAGCAACACGTTCAGACTGACGCTCAGTGCTCAGAGAGAGAGAGAGAGAGAGAGAGAGAGAGAGAGAGGAGAGAGAGAGAGAGAGAGAGAGAGAGAGAGAGAGGATGGCTTCAGAGGGAAAATAGGTCATACTAATGCTTCTCTCTGGTGAATGAATAGAAATGTGTATTTTCCCCAAAGGACGCAGTGCGTGCATCAATCAACCACATGCTGAATGAAAAATATGTTCACACAGATTCTAAGTCATTCCAAATCCATCAAATAAAAACAGCACATCCGACATGGAGTCACCTGAGAGAGTAAGTAGAGGATTGGCGGGCTGAGGACAAGGCCCTGTTAGAGCACTAAAAGGGCAGGTGCAGCCAAGCGCTAAATGAACTGCTTGTTTTAGACACTCTCCATTGGATCAGCGTTTCGTCACAGCCAGAGGGGAAGGAGATTGAGAACAACTTCACTGAAATGACTATTTGGACTAAAGGTGACTACAATGAACTGACTTTGCAGACCTATATATAAAGCCAGTCATAGTCTTCTGAATAACAGTGTGTGAAGCGTCAAAGATTGTGAACTGGGTGTTCGAGATTGTCCTTGACTGTGTATGAAATCTGTGTTAATAGCAAACTGTAACTCCTTAAAAGCCTAATCCTTTCCTTAATGTGTGATGGCCTTTCCCTGCCTCTCTGCTCGTTTGTCTTCTCAGCATCCACATGACAGCATAAACACAGGTTTTTGTGGTGTTTGTGCAACCCAGGATATGACCAGTATCTGCCACAGTGACATCAAGAGGAGAGAAAAGAAGCAACGAGACCAATGGCTCTTGGATTTTTAATTAGGAGCCAAACTGCACATCAGCCTCAAATTTCTATTTATCCAACTGCTCCACAGACTGGCTGGCTCTATAACAAGAAGTCCAGCACATAGTGTGAACAGCAGCCCTGTCAGCAGTCAAGAATTGATGAGAACCAAGGGACCTCATTTATACTTAACATCTTAGAAGGAAGAGCTTGAGAAGTGTTTAAAAACACAGTAAGCATCTGTGAATGAGTTAGAGCAGTTAGTTCAAATCAGTAGCAGAGCCAGGATACTGTGATTTGGTGACCTAAAGAGGGGCTGGATTGTCGGTAGCAGAGGTTAAATATGTGCAACCAATAGAGGATATACACCAAAAACAAGAATGAACTTTAAAGACTCAAAATATGTGTTACTTAATGTACAATGCAAGCAAAGCTGATTATGTGCATTACAAAACAAATGTGTAGAAAAATGATACAAGAATAATCAAAAAACCTTCACTATCCATCATTTTGTCCCCACAAAAAGTATCTGTGGCTTTACATCACACTTCAGCTGGGTGAGTCAAAACAACGGCAGCGCTTGCTAAATTCAATATAGTAAAGCCAGTTGCTAGCAGCTGCCTGTTTTATTTACCTGTACAGCTGATTAAAACCACCCATATTTAATGTAAGCTATATAAAACCAAACATGAGAGTTTAAATGACAGTTAGGAATATGTCACCAGAAAAGAAATTAATAAAGCAGGTTGTACTTACTTAAAAGATTAAACATACCCACCAAAACACGACTCCTGCTAGCCAGCAGCTACCTACTAGCTGTAGTAAATACAAGTTCGCTAAAGTTCCTCATGCTAAAATTCCCACTTTGTGCCTGACATCGACTGAAACTCTTGTATGTTTCTTTCTGAAACAGAAAGTGACATGGTCCCTCACAAGATAATCAATTTGCCTAAACATTTTGTAAATTGATCAAACTCAAAAAAACTTTTAAAGTAATACGTGTTCATGCTGCTCCACCAATTCATCAGGTTTGCTCCTATTCAAATGAACCAATGAAATGGCATAACAAGCAGCAAAGGTCAACAGTCATCATCACTCACTACATTTTTAAGCAAGGGGTTAACGGCTGCAAGTGATATGGAGGATGTTGCCATAGCTTTCTTTATCCTATTTATTCCCCCTTTGTTAAAATCTGGTTAAGAAAATGTCACTTAAGTCATTTTAATAGAATAAATGCATGCATTAACACTAACCCGCCACGGTAGCTGAAAATACAGCCATGTTAAATAGACCTCAGGTCATGCCATCTTGTGAATGTGCTTTGTTTGTCATAACTGCTGAAGACACACAAAATAAAGATCCTTACTTCCTGTTTCATACCAAAATCCTCAATGGAGGCTCAGTATGGGGATGAGCCCCTTTATCGTTTGTGATCCTTTTTTGACATCAACCTGCTGTGTAACATCCAGCTTTACCTGGCCAATTATGACTGTATGCAGAGCATGTTAGGAGGCTGGCAAGGTGAGAATATTGAAGCTGAATTGTGAACACACACACACACACACACACACACACACACACACACACACACACACACACACACACACACACACACACACACACACACAAACCCAGTTTAACCTCAAGTGTTAGAATCAAACCAGATGCTAATGCTAATTGAATATTGCTCTGAGTCATTGTGCATGTACCTAAGAAAAGCTGGAGCAAAATAAAATTTAAAAAAGAAACACTCCAAGAAAGGCTTGTAAATCCGTCTGAGGGATCTCCATTTTTTCATGAATGAACTGAATAAATTGCTCAGAATAACAGACAGTGAATCATCCTGTTTGGGGGAACATGTGTCCCTAATTTCTCCCTAAAAGACTTCCCTAGTTTAACTATGGTGACACTGTCAACAGGTGACAACCAAAAATCAAAACAACAGGAATAAACCAGCCTGTACCCCAACTCAGAGGGCCTGCCAAATCAGGATTTTCAGCTCACATTTCTTTAAGGGTTTTTTTTTTCTGAAAAGATGGCTCTGAGACAAAATATGACATAATTTTTAATAGCTCCTGCTTATGAAACCAAAACGTGTAAATGTCCCTATAGGCTACATGGCGATTAATCATACTGTGCACCTTCTGGGAAAAGGTTTAGGTTCCTTTTCAGCACTCTGGACTGTTTTTCCAGCTTTGAGGCAAATTCACCTGATCCCGTCCACCTAACATCCCGCAGAAATGCCGCACTTTCATTATTTGAAAACTAGCACCTGTTAATGCCATTCTACTGCCACCTCAGCTGACTGTATGGTAACATCTGTAGCACCTATACGTGGTCAGTGAGTCAGGTAGCTCGCAGATGACACCAAAGAGGACGCAGAAAACGCGCATTATCATATTAAGGTATGCAAGCATGCAACGAGCCTCTTAACCACACATCTAAAACAGACACCTGACTCAGAGGCTCGTGTTTCTTTAATTCCTGCTCATCATAACAGCTTTGCATTCACACATTCGCAGTGAGTTGATGTTAAGAATCACTTACAGAAGATCAGTGGGTGCCGGATGACCGCCAGTGACAGCTTCTTTCACGTTATCCCAGATAATGACAAAAAGACGCGGAGGGATGCGCCTCTGCAAGTGTAAACTTCCGCGACACCTGTCTGTGCCCCTGGTTACTTTTGGCTTGCCTGCCCCTGTGGTGAGTCGGCTTATTAATTTTCCCCAAAGCAGTAGACGCAGGCACAGCTGAATGGGCGATCACGAGGTTTGTATTACACGGAGGAAGGAGGAGATGGAGGAAGGAGGGAGGGGAGGGCGCGCGGGGAGCGAGGTGAGGGATTGGCACCCAACCTTCAGTCTTCCTGTGTTCATGGTGACACGGAGCTGGGTGTTAGGATTTAGCTTTGAGGTGGGAGGCAGAGATAGATGAGTCGTTTTTTTGTGCTTGGCTAATCTAATATCTAATCCTTTATTTTTCTTCTGGCACCTGGGAATCCTGCACTCCAATTTGGCACTGCTGCTCAGGCGGAGGAGGAGGAGGAGGAGGAGGAAGGGGAGGGAGAGGAACTGTGTTGGCTGGCTGCTCCATTCATAAAGCTAGTCACAGTGCAATTAACCTCAGTGAGAGATAGAGATGAAAACCTAATTTATTCGGACATCTATCGCTCAGACTCACATGTCTTTCTGCGATTAAAGTGTTTTATTCTCTTAGTATCTTCTTTCATTTTTAAATCCTGCACCTAATCAGTTACAAATTGAGGAATACAGAACTTAAGTTCTTTAATTTAATTGGGAAATATAGGAAAATGGCTGACAAATGATTTCAATCACGATTGATCACGATTGATTGCAAAATTTTAATAGTTAAGTGTGATAAATCACATTATTAATCACGTTTTGAAATTAAATTCCTTAGATTTTAAAAATAAAAAATTGTGTGCTTTTATTTTGAATGTTTGTACTGTCTTAAGATGAGAGTAATTTACTTGCTGTTTGAATTTAACCCCACTTTTATTTTTGAAATAAAGTAGGACCTTCTGAGAGATGAAGGTTACAACTAAGGAAAAAGGATCTACTTACAATAAAGATTTAAAAAATCAGCTTAAAGAACAGGTAAAAGTGAAATGTTTGAAGTCATGTTGATGTGACTTCTGACTCGTCACCTGAGCTGTCAAGGAGTTTTTTAAAGTGAAATGAGCCATTCAAAAATGCAGCAGTGTCATTCTTTTCCACCACTGTGACTATAGGGAGACACTGATGGCTTATCCACGAGGTGAGCCTAAAGGGATTCAATTGCATGCAATTCATTTCGATTAAAAAACATGTTTGCATCAATTTCAGACCTTAGATAATTGTTATTAACTAGTTAATGCTGACAGCCTTAGCAAAAAAAAGAGTCATGAATGCTTCCTCATAAACAAGAAAACAAGCTTAACTGGATAGACTGTTGTTTTCTATTTGTCTTATCGAATTCATGCTACCATAACATTACCATTGTGTTGCGTGGTTGATTGAGTACTTATTGTCTTCCTTAGTTGTGGTTTTGCAAAGCATCATAGCCGAGGAAAAAATGTGCCTTTTTGTTCGCTTTATTAGTGCACAGGTGGAACTGCTGACAGCAAGGCCTTCCAAATAAATTTTCTGGCAGGTGGTGCTTGCTCAACAAGGCACATTTTAGCAGACGTAACATTTTAATAACAGTTTTCAGAGACTATTAGGCCGACTGATGGTTTTATTATCCAAAGTCTTATTAAGGCTGCATTTTACAGTAGAAAGCCACCAAGAGACCTGTTCAAAGCCATATATTCTACATATTGCACCATACATTCACTCACAAAAACAACTCTGAGTCATTGTGAACTGTGTGCTGGAAACCTGCCTCACTGAAGTCACATCCTTTATCTACATTCAGTGTACAGAATCAGTCACAATGTCCACAGATAATAATACCATCAAACATACTGCCAATACTTATGGCCAGAGAGCACTTACTGTTTTTACACAGATGCTGTATAACTCTAGCACAATAAATATTGACTTGTAGATCAATCCCCAAAGACAGTGGACGTTTTTCTCCAAAGTCATGCTCAGAGCTCAAGTGTTGCAGTTTTCTTCTAGGCGTCTTTATTCCAGAATGTTTGTTGTATTTTTGAAGGTTTACTTAGGTCACTTGGTAGTACTGTATAGTCTATATTTCATTATATTAATATAGGTATTAAGTTATATTCTGGGCTTAAACTGTTTATAGCTAATGTTTGAATTACCCCAATCGAAGGCTAACATTACACTAACCAGCATTACATAATGATAACTTTTCATTGTCTAGGAATAGCCTATAGCTAATGTCACATAAGATAGGAAGTAGGCTACTTTAGCTATGTGCTCCTCAACTAACATTACATTAGAAGTTTAGGCCTTTCCTGTTAACCTAATGCTACAAGCGATACCTTTCCACCTCAAAGCTAAAAAAGTCGCAAATGTGGTGGTTCTGACCATTTCTTTCATTACATCGTTCTCCATTAATGCCAAATGAAACAGGTAATCTATGGTAGGCCTATGCTGAAAAGTCAGAGGGCCATCATCATATTTTGGTAAACAGCTAATGGCAGCTCACCATGAATGCCTATAGCTACAATAGCTAGGAAGTATCTTAGCTAGCTTTTTGTTCTTCAAACAAACGGTAGCATTCAGCCACTTCCCAGCCAATATGTAATCTAGTAAGTAGCTAAATGCGAACATTAGCTGTTGTCTAGCTGTTGCTAATGGGTTATCAAATATGTTGACCTGAGCCTCTGTTTATTATAAACTATAAACCAGTCATATGACATGTCTGTGTGAATTTTCAATGTGAGGTTTGTTGGCTGTTGTTAAAATGTTCTAAAATCTATATGAGCTGCTGTGAATACTACATCTTACCAATAATTAATATAGCCTATGATGTCGAGCAGCAGTTTAAAGGATGTTATCACAGAATGACTTTTCTCAAGTGAAAGCAGTCAACATGTCACTCAGAGAGAGAGCACGAGGGAAACATGCAATCTGTGATTCTGTATGCGTTACTCTCCAGTTGATTTTGGGCAATTATTGTGAATGCTCTGGTGTGCCCGAGACTCTGTGCATTTTTTAAGTAGTCCGTGACATTCTGTCTCCTCCTTCCCTGCCAGAACAGCACTCTCTCTGTGTTCCTGGACCACCTCAGGGTTTTACAAATTACCTCTGGTTATGATTCAAACTGGGTAAGCCAATCAGAGACAGAATAGGGCTCCAAGTACGGCAAGCAACAAGTGAGGCAATATATTAAAGGGAGGGGGGGAATAGAAAGGAGCAATTTATGATTCTCTGCGTGTGAAATAGGAGGATTAGAGTGTGACCGTGTGAAGATGCTTAATTGTATGACTCTCATGGTCAGTGCATGGGACTCTGATTCGATATATGGCCTGATTTCCCTCTGGATTTTCATTTTTCATATGTCTTTTCAATTACTGATCAATCTGAAAGCGGTGGTAATAATTATAAGTGAAATGTATATAACTTAAGAAACAAAGCTGCAAGACATTATCACACCATATAAGTTTCCCACTTTGAGTATGCAGTCAAAGGAAATGGCCCTTTATGTCGATTACATACATTTTCACTTTCATTTTAACTTCATCCCAGTCCTGAAACAAGATATTTTGGTCTTAAACATAAAACATTTTCTCAGAAACACACGTGTTAGTACCTGTACCTTTTAAAAAATTCATACATTTTCTATTGACAGTTTTCTTATTTAAGAGTGAGTTAAGATTTGAGCTAAAAATGTAGCCTACCAAAGTAGAAATTTTATTTTTCTGTAAATATTCTACTGTACAATCCCAGCTTGGTTTTACTAAAAGGTCACAGACGAGGATTATTTAAATCTTTAAGTTGAGCAAGTGTGACTGCACACACATAGCACATGTTAAATGGTCCATGGAGATTTAAATTACACGTCTGGCCTGGTAAACTAAAGTTTTACTTGCTTTGTTGGCAAGATCGATTTAAGTGGTGGAAACAAACACACATACACACTGAATATAACCATACAAGCTGTGGTTTTAACACTCCAAAAAAAGCAAGACAGGGAAAATACGAAAGTTATGGTTTCACAAAGACTCAAATGGGTGGTCTCAAGGCAAATGGGGAAAAATAGGCAGATGGAGAAGTTGCTGATATGATAGGATAGAAATGGGAGAAACTTAAAAGGGAATTGACTCTACCAATACAATAGTACACTCCCACTCTTCTATTGTAGGTCAGTAAGTAGCTCCAGTGCAGACTATGGGGTCATTTTAGGGTTTTACGCTAGCAATCCTCTGAGCATATTTCTGCTACTTTAAAGCACCTGCTGGTCACATATATGTTTGAGTAAAGCTTATTAAAGGATACATGCCTCAGTAAAGCTCCTGTTTATGCTTTATGCTCTGCTGCTGAGTCACTTGCGGTATGAAATGTATTTTCCTTTTTTGGACCTGAGCTGAATAAATACATAATCTTTCTCTTTGTTGCTTACCCTCCTATTTCCCACAAGGTTGCATACACTGGGTATATTGTCTACATTTCTGCCAAAGGGGTGTTTTATTGTTACAAGAGAATATGTTCATTTGCACAATTAAATAATCCCATTAAGCTCGCAAGTTGAAACAAAGGGAATATTTATACAGCTATCCCCTGTAGCCACATTGTGAAAATGCAATCAACAGGTCAGTGCGGCAAGACTTAACATGTAGCCTATCAACGACTTGGAAAAGGTTGTGCATGGGAGGCTTTATGATTGCCAAAGTAGAATATTTGGAGTGACTAAGGAGAGCAAAGCATTCTGGTCCTTCTATCCCTGTCACATGCTGGTGTTTTAGTGTTGTTGTGTGCACACGTGCCGGTATTGTCTACTGTGACATTCACTGTTTTTGTGTGGTTGGAAACAGATTACAGCTTTAAAGCTTGAATGCTGGCATTTCAGATCCCTTCCCTCTAAGGGCTTCACTGCACACTATAATATCCTGTCCTTCAACCAAATGTCAACCTTCAAAACTGTATTAATCGTCAAAGAATCTTACCTCTATGTTAGCAGCTGAGATGAGGTGAGTCATGGATGTTTTTATAAGAAATATGTAAAAGGGGTTCTTTTGTAAAAGTTTATATTAATTATTTTACTCCAT